ATATGCACATACACGAACAACCTCACGATAATATGCGTCTTGCATTTTTACAAGACAAAAAAAAAAACGCAACAGAACCCACAGTATAAATGACTGACCAGAGGTGCCCGATAAGCACAAATCACAATGTTCGTTAAGACGATAAAGAATATTTTTATCCGATCTTTGTTGTAAGCCGCACGCCTCCGGTATATTTTGGTGAATTATGTCCGGGACAACGACAGGCCTGAAACCGCTCTTTTCGACAACACCGCTAACGTATTTGATCAGAGCGAGATCCAACTCAGCCAGAGGACCTGGAAAAAAAAAATGTTTTGGACCATAATCAAAATTACCACGCGGACCAGCAGTGCATAGCTTTCAGCATTACCAAAACATGCACGCAGCAAAACTGAAGCTCATTAGTACTTTCACGTGGCTCACACTCCGCCCTTCCACCACCCACTTGCATCATCGAGATCGTCTGAGTGATACATGGCATTCAGCGGTAATCAGTAAGGCTAACACGGCACCCAGCCAAATCGCTTCCACGGCTCATGGCGGTGTTTCGTTGATGATGAACGGGATGCTGTCTAGCAATTTCTCCTTCCTAAAAACAAATCCTCTTCCATCACTTTATATCGCCTTTCCTTCTTTCAGCGCCGTCCTTTTACTTCAGTTTTGTGTGATCGGGCCCAATCTCATCATATACACGGCTGTCATTTCAATCCATATGCTGTTCTCTCAGTACGTTTCGAGCTCCGGAATGAAACGCAGACTCTGCGTCCTGGTAGATCTCTATTACACATGACCTGGCAATCCAGAGTGCTCATGAATGCGTTCCGAAACAATCTTAAGTAATTACCAATCAGTGCATAGCTTCGTTCGCCGCAGGCCACAAGAGGGTTATAGAGTGCCTTCCAAGCTTTCGCAATGTTTTCCGCCGTTTGTAAATTTCCCTCGTTCCGCTGCTCTCCAAAAAGCAGCACAACTCGCGCGCGGCTGCCCTTCACAACTTCTGAATGGCACATATTCGGTATCAACAACGACTCTTCGTAGAACTGCAAATCGGAATTTCTGATTTCTAAGAAATGATATTCAATAAATTCATCATTCTCCCTCCCCACCTCCCTTCTTTTCCGTTCCCTTCTGACATCTTGCACTTCGAGCGCCTGAACGAAAGACCAAATTCAATGACAGTTCAAAATAAATGGCAACGCGCACCAGACTAGCCAGTGCGATCATGCGTTTTGTGCAATTCAGCTCATCGAACGATTGCCTATTAATGATTTTCACTGCTT